TTCTCTGGGGGCCTTCAGCGGGACAATGCCAGCTGGCGACACCTAGGAGTAGGGCCTTCTCTGTTGCCGCTCCGGCCCTATGGAATGAGCCTACCTATTCTCATGGCCTTCTGCAAAGCTATTAAAACCTGGCTTTTCTGGCAGGCCTGGGGCCGTTGACCTCTTGATTGAGGTCCAGCCCCTCTCTGATTGGGTGCATGTTGTGCTTTTCTTAACTTTGTTGTGTCTCATTGTTTTAATTCTTTTTTTAATAATTTTTCATTTCTGCCCAATCCCAGAGTCCTTCGGGATTGGGCAGCCTAGAAATTCAATAAATGAAATGAAATGAAAAGGCAAGATGGTCTTTTGAGTGGAAGTGTTCAACTCCACTGCATTTCATGCCTAAGATATCAAAATGTAGTTGATTTATTTCATTTTGTATTGGGTTGAGCTTTGCCAAATTTATGCTTCTCATGTTCTATGTTCCAACTATTATTTCTGTCTTTTTGACACCAGCAATTAGATGAAATGTAACTGCATCATCAACATTGTTAGTGCTCTGAAATATTTTCAGCTCTTTCTCAGTACCATCCAACCACTAGAGCACGGAGGCAACAAATATTGCAGGTCCCGTCCCCTAATGAGATACGTCTGGAGGGACCTAGAAGAACATCATCCCTCCGAAAAGTAGTCTGGCCCCTACTCTGACACTCTTCCAGAAGGCACTGAAGACTTGGTTCTGCTAGCAGATCTGGGGAACATCATCCCTCCGAAAAGTAGTCTGGCCCCCACTCTGACACTCTTCCAGAAGGCACTTTAGACTTGGTTCTGCTAGCAGGCCTGGGGAACCCAGAATGGGATGGAGGTCATTAAATGGCTGGTATCAGAGGTGAGTTGCTGCCGGTTTGGCCCAGATTGGCCAAACTGGTAGTAGCGGTGGGGGAGGCTCCGCCCACCTGCCCGGATGCTTCTGCACATGTAAAGAAGGTTCTCTGCATGAACAGAAACATTGCATACTCATGGCAGTGCACCCAAATCAATAGTAAAAAAAAATTGGCAACCAACCTCTGGAATGTATGTTGTTAGCAAGGTGGAAGGATGGGGGGGGGGGTTATTATTTTATTATTTATTTTTATTTCTTTTATATTGTGTTTTTATCTCCTGTTAATCTCCTTGAGTCACCATGAATGAGTGGATGGCAATATAATTTTAAATAAATAAATAAACCAAGGGGCCTGTCATCCAGCATTATACCATCAGTCGGTTTATCTCATCTATCTACATGATTTTCTTGATAAAATACATGAGTGATTTCCCATTGCCTTCTCCCAAGCAGTATAATTATCTGCTTCCAAACATCTTCCTAGTTCACTATGGCCAGATATAGGAGTCTGCTTAGAAATGACCTTCATGCCTTGAGCGACTCTATGGAGAATATAGGGGCACTATGGAGTGACCCTACAGAGAACATATATTCTTCCTGTCCATTGCAAGTGTTCTTCACTTGGACCCCTCCCAGGAGCACTCTTCTGCCATGGTAAGGCTGCACTATCTGGGGTGGGGGGTGGGGGGAGAATCCCCATAAATTCTATCAGATAAGTATATCATATAAAGAGATTACCTGTTCCAAAGTGTTCAAAGAAAAGCTGTACTCCTCAAGATTGAACAGTTGTTTCACTATGTAAAGAGGGGAAAGTAGGCTTGGTTAGGCTTTGCATGGAACATTTTTGCTTGTCTTCTGTGCATAGCATATTCATTCCCTATTCAATACCCATATAGCCCACAATACCCCACAATACCCCACAATAGTCACTAGTAACGACAATCAGGCTAAGGATTAGGGCTGTGCATACTTTGAAATTAATTCGGAAGTCTGCTTTAGACCTCAACTATGAACACCCAACTCTGTCCTACTCAACCTGGCTTCTTAAGTCTGAAAATATGTTGTGTCTGATAAAACATTAATCAACATTAATGAGTTAATTCTTTAAAGCAGCAGCATCCTTTTTTCAGAATTGTCCAGCACACTGAAAATAATGGGTTGTTTTAAAGCATTGCAGGGAACTGCTATTCCTTGTAAGGCTCAGTTTTGAAAACATTTCAAAAGACTAATGGTGCTTTAAAATATGGTTGGGTTGGTGTAGCATTACTTTGCAATATTTCATTTCTCTGTCTATTCATTTGTCTTAAACATAATCATAACATAAACATAATCGAGAAATCTATTATGAAGATAAGTTCCAAATAAAATGAATTGTAAGAGTATATGATTCCCCTCAGAGTAAAGGGTATTCCCCAAAATGAACTGCATAGTAGAGACCACATCATAGGCAAAATAGCCTAAGATGTCAACAGGGAATGATAAAACATCATGTCAATAAGGAGTGAAGCTGGGAGTTTATAGCTGGGTTTACCGCAGCAATAAGAACAGAACACCCATATAGAGAGATTCAGTTTCCTAAAAGTTCCAGTTTCAGATCTCTAAAAGGTGACCCTTCTATTAATGGCAATCTACACTGTTTATTCACCTCCCTGATTTTTGAAAACATGTTGAAGGGCTGAATTTCTGAAATAAGCTCTGCCATGCAGATCTACTGCTATCATTCCTTTGGGCTAAAACCAGAAATTTCCAGATTTATTCTTCCTGACTAAAATTACCACACAGGACGGAGGGAGCTTTGGGTTATAATGGAAACTTGCACCTGGTTTTCTTAATCCTACAGAGACTCTAAGCTGAAAAAATTGAAAGGCACTGAAGTAAACAAAATATTTCAGCTGACATCTGAGTATTAGCCATACACATTTTACTCAGTTTGCTATTGTCCTCAAGAAAGCCACACATAGTTCAACATTTGTACTTTTTCTGGCACATGGACTCTGCGTCATTCATTTCTCTCAAAGTTACTTTGGAAGTCCAAAGAGGTTTCCATTGAGTAAACCTTACAAGAAGATGGGAGGTTTCATAGGTAAAGAGAAACTTTGATCATGAATGGTGAACTTAGATCTGCAGTTCTGGGCTGCTTCTTAAGTACTTACAAGTCATTCTCAAGTTACAACCATTTGTTTAGTGACCATTTCAAGTTGCAATGGCATTGGGGAAAAAAGGTGACTTATGAATGTTTTTCACACTTCTGACCATTGCAGCATTCCCATAGTCACATGATGAAAATTCAGAAAATTGACAACTGACATGTATTTATGATGATTGCAAATAAAGAAATACATTCAAATTTCACACTTTGATAGATGTCCAGAGATTCTAAAGATTTTTTTTAATAAATCTGCGAAAACACATTATTTTTCCTTCAGTGTTCATGCAACATAAGGAGCAGATAATGCCATCTAATTTGAAGTTTATGTTTTCACATTTCATAATACTTACAGACATACCTTTTTCTAACATGGAGAAAGCTTTAGAGAGAGGCAGTGCATTTTCCATTGGAATCTTGTAGACCAACAAAGTGGATATCCTAAAAATAGGTGAAACCATAAATATCCAAAAGAGAGGAGAAATAATAATAACAACATCTCCAGGACTGCTGGTTCCATCTTGAGTCAGTCCATTCAAATTGATCCTCCTTTGCAAAATTATTGGTGGTTCCCCCATGGGATTGAGGCTATTAAAAAGTATGTTGGCCTCAATATTATGGAATATCCTGCTCCTGGAAGTCTAGTATTTTCAGTGATAACAGGGAAATCTCACACTGGAAGGGGTTGATTAATTAAGACCCAATCGCACATCCCCCCCACAAAAAAATCTGGCTGCTCTTTTTCTCCATCTTGAAACTACTTTGAATGTACTTTCATTTTATCCCTGATGTTTTTAATGCTTTGATGCTATAAGATGCCAAGAGTGGCTTCAAAACAAGATAGCAGCAAATAAATTTAATAAAAAATAAAATTTAAAACTTTCTAGAAGGCAATTAAAACCAAGATACCATACAATAATAAACAATAATAAGAGCCATGGTAGCACAGTGGTTAGAATGTAGTACTGCAGGCCACTTCTGCTGATTACTGGCTGACAGCAGTTTGGCAGATCAAATCTCAACAGTCTCAAGGTTGACTCATCCTTCCATCCTTCCGAGGTGGGTAAAATGAGGACCCAGATTGTTGAGGGCAATAGACTGACTCTGTAAAACCGCTTAGAGAGGGCTGTAAAGCACTGTGAAGCGGTATATAAGTCTAAGTGCAATAATCCATACCACTGATAATTCTGACCAACAAAAATATTGGGCAGAGCAATCCAATTTGTATATATAGAAACTTTAAAAATAAAGGTGTAATTTGTCCAGGGAGGAGTAACAAGGATTGTATTTATTTGTATCCCACCTTTTTTATTTTAACAAATAGCTCAAGGTGATGAACATAACCAACATACCTTCCTCCACTTATTTTCCCCATAACAACAACCCTGGGTTGGGCTGAGAATGAGTGTCTGGCCAAAAGTCACCCAGATAGCTTTCATGCCTAAGGCTGGACTAGAACTCACAATCTTCCACTTTCTAGCCTGAAGAAGACCAAACTGGCTCTGCACATTACATATATCTCCATCTGTGCCACAGTATGGCGATTAATTTTGAGAAGCAACTGAATCTAACAGGGAAAACATGTAGCATAACCATCTGGATCAAAGGTATGACTTTCTCCTCAGAAGCAAAATCTTCCTAATAGGAGATTAAATTTTAAAAAGTTATTTTCTTCTTCAGTTAAGCCATCTGAAAAGAACAAGGATTTCCATTTCAAACAATTTTAAGCATTCAGTCACATTGTAGATAAATGTTGCTGTTACCTTTCTTGACGAGCTGCTTGTGGGAACATTTTTAGAATCTGAGTATTCACAAGATCTCCTTGTTCTACCCCTTTTACTTTTATTTGCAGCAAATAATTTTTTCCAAATTTGCTTTTCAGGTACTGAATTGAACCCAGGCACCTGCAAAAAATAAATAAATCAGCATACAATGAATGGCATCAAATTGTTATTGGGTAGCACTATTCTAATCCGGCATGGATTAGAATGCTGATTTTAAAGGACACCAGTCCATTGAGCCTCCAATGGCATTACAATGTTAATGTAGAGAGGAGAAAGGATTAAGTGCATGGGAGTACATGTAGCATGGTACCTTGTATTCTTCTGTAAGTACTGATAATGTTACCTAGTTTGGTAATGAAATATCTGCAAGAAAACAACAAAGCTCATAGAGCATCAAGAACCCTACAGGTCAAACCTGAACTACAAATATTCTCTTCTATCAAATCTTCTGTAATTTGAACTGTCAATCAACAATTGCAACTGTAGAGAGGCTGGGAGAGATGCCTTTAAGTCATACCATAATTGCCATTGCATTCTCACATGTCTCAACCCATGTTATATGGGATATTTGGAAAATTGCTGTATTTTGATTGTGTTTTTCTCTTATCCTTTCAATCCAATTCACATCTAAGAACTCTGTTTGCACTGATGTGGATTGAATAAGATTGACAGTTTGCCTTGCAAATTTACCGGAAGCTCCTAGCTAACTGATGGTTTGCTGAAAGCTGACAGACTGGGGTTCACTCTTCATACTAAAACTAGTAAGACCATTCTGAAGTCCCCCATTATTATGTGGAAATGAGAATTAAGAATGTCAAGAGAGATATTCCAGTAAATTGAATGTACTGTAGTTTAAGAAGTGTAAGTTGGAAAAAATGAGGATAATAAACAGACTGAATATATATTTTACTGCTAATCACATCTGACAAAAGGATATAAAGAGACATTACCAACACATTTTTCTGCAGTTATAAATCTGCAGAATGAGAACAGAATGCTTCTGTGTTAAGCAATGGCAGCTGCAAGAATTTTGGCAAGTTAAGATGCTAAGATTTCATTACAATGACATAAAGCAAATAAAAACCTGATGGAACATGAGCATAAGTAGTCCCATGGTGAGATAGCTGGCAAATAAATGTAACAAATAAATCAACATGTGCAGGGGTTATAAGGATGGGGTCCCCATTGTATAAATAAGGCATGAAAGGAACATGTGGAGGAGGGCCTTTTGTTCCTCCAGATCACAGCAACATATCTGCTCTGCAAAAGCAGAGCAAAACACCTTCTCTACAATATCACTGAGGGCAAGTCATGAAAGCAGGCCAAAGAAAGAAACTCTATTGCATGTAGGAGAGATAGCACAAAATCAATAATTTGGTGAAGAGGGTTTCCTGTGTATATCCCTCCAGTATTAATTATCTAGATCACTTTGATCTATTTGCAAAGTTATACTGAACATAGGGTGCTGGAGTATGACTCTAACTGTTAATAGTCTCATAGCCAAGAAAGCTCGATACTAGAAGTTGCATTGGCATAGATCAATCATTATGGATTCTAGTTCTAGATTCCTAGAAAAGGAAAAAGTGGCAAAAAGATTTATGATGGATAGGGAATCACTGGAAAGGTGAAGTTTAAGTCAGATATAGAGCTGATTTTTGCATTCCAGCAGGATCATCCCAGTCTGAAAGTAGATTGTTAAGATTTTTTTATTTTTATTTTATTTATTTCGTCAAGCATGTATTAGATTATATATATAAGTATGAACCTGATTTTGGATACATGAAATGGATACGAATAAAAAGAAACATTAGGACAGGGACAGTAAGCATGTTGGTGCGCTTATGCATGCCCCTTATAGACCTCTTAGGAATGGGATGAGGTCGACAGTAGGCAGCTTAAGGTTAAAGTTTTGGGGGTTTGGGGAAGAAACCCCAGAGTCAAGTAGTGCATTCAAAGCACTACCACTCTATTGCCGAAGTCGTATTTTCTGCAATTGAATTTGGAGCAGTTTACCTGAACTTTATATCTATTGTGTGCTCACATATTGCTATGGTTAAAGCTGAAGTAATTATTGACAGGTAAGACATTGTAGCAGATAATTTTATGTACTATGCTTAGGTCAGATCAAAGGTGGCATAGTTCTAAGTTGTCTAAGCCCAAAATTTCAAGTCTGGTGGCATTCTGTTGCGAGCAAAGGAGCGGATGACTCTTCTCATGAAATATCTCTGGACTCGCTCAATTGTATTAATGTCCGATATGCAGTGCGGGTTTCAGACAGATGAACTGTATTTGAGAATTGGTCTAGCAAATGTTTTGTATGCTCTGGTTAGCAGTAAATATTACTAAAGAAGAAGCTATGCAAGATTAGTTTAACAACTCTTAATGCCTTTTTGGCAATGTTATTACAGTGGGATCTGGCACTTAGGTCATTAGATATGAGTACTCGAAGGTCTTTGATAGAGTGAGGGTCATCTACAAGGTTGTGTCCACCCAGCTTGTATTTTGTGTTCTGATTTTTTTTGCCAATGTGTAAGACAGAGCATTTGTTGATTGAGATTTGAAGTTGCAATAGGTTGGGCAAGGAGCTGGTGCTGAAAGATTTTTCAAAGATTATGCTTAGAGGTTCAGCTATGGCAGTGAAAAGTTTTTTTAAGAAGTAGGCACATAGTCCATCAGGTCCAATAGATAGAGATGGTTTTAGGCCATGTAGTGTCTTTTCAACATTATCTTTTGTAAAATCGATTTGTGTAAGATCACTGTAATTATTTGTGGTATGACTAGGAAATATTGGGCATGATCCATTGCTGTTTACAAAGACTGAGCCAAAGAATGTGTTAAAGAGATTGGCTTTAACGGCTTCATCTTTACAGTCTTTGCCGTTAGGTCCTTTTAGGGGTGGGATGGATCTCGAGTCTTTAAGTTTGTTGTTTACCAAATTATAGAAGGCTCAGTTAGATTACCTGCGCAGAAGGTTTTCCTCTTGTTTGATGTGATAATTAGTGCATTCAGTCTTCATCTGGTGGCATAAGTTAGTTACATAGCCTTTTTTGTTTTTTCGCAGAGAGATTTTTTTTTTATTGCAGCTTCCTTATTGTTATGGGTAATTTGTTTTCTCTGGTTTTGGGGTTTATTAGTGGTACATATAGTTTAAAGACTCGTTTGACTTCAAGCAAAAAAATGTTATAAAGGTCTTTGGCAGCATTACAGCCAGTGAATAGAATGTGCCAAATAAGAGATGAGAGGTCAGTGTCTATGAGATGATAGTTGGCTTTTTTTAAAGTTATAATTGGGTATCCCATCATTATGATGATTTTTGTAAAGCTGTATATTGAGACAAAAGTCAATCGTGCTGTGGTCACTGTTGGAAAAGTGTTCTTTTATTTGTAGTCCGTAAATTGAGTTTAAACTGTTTCAGAAGATGAGATCAAGGCAGTTGTTGAGTCTAGTGTTGTTAGTTACTAGTTGATCTAGTCCCAGATTAATAACAGCATTGTACAGGGTTGTATGTATGGGTTCAGTTGTATATTTGTTTAGGGTCCAATTAATAAGAGATAAATTTAGGTCACCAAGAAGGATAAGAGGATGTAGGCAGGAGGCAGCCCATATTAATAGTGAAGTTAATTTGTTCGCATGTATGATGTCGTAATCAGGACTTCTGTAACATAGTAAGAAATGAAGTGTGGTATTTAAGGACAGCTCACAGATGATTGTCTCAGGAAGAGCGAGTTCATGAGTAACTTGAATATTTTTTAGATTTAGGAACTTTTTATAGAAGATAACAACTCTACAGATTTCACGATCGGACCAGTAAGCATGGTAGCCTCTTACTGTGATAATGGAGTTAGGGAGGAATACGTTCAGCCATGTTTCACAGACAAATATAATGTCGAATATACTGGTAAGAGGAGGAATTTGGGCATTTTGCTTATGATGCTTCTTGCGTTAAGTAGCTTGCATTTAAGGTCAGTAGTAGTTGGAATGCAACACAGAACACAAAACAGCACCCTTAGGAATCTGGACTGGCTTTAGCACTATTATTAACCTTATCAGAAATAGATTAAATTTGTTCACACCAGAGACCAAAAAGTTGAAATTCTATGCCAAGGTATTTGAAGGATGATACCTAGACTATACTATTATTGATTATCTGCCACTAAAGTTTGTATTTTTCAAGTTCTTTTCTGTATCAACAAATCCCATCATTTTTGTGTTGGTGTAGTTTTGTGTATCTTGACTTCCTACAACATAAAAGCTTAAAGACCTTTTCTAAGACCAATGTCAGTCAAAGAAAAAATAGTCACATCATCAGCATGAAGAAGCACAGCTAAATTGTCCACCACAGAGTTAAGAAAGATAGAATTCTTTTTAGTTATGATATACACAATTGAGCTACCTAAATATTAAGTGGAAAAGGGGCTAGAATACAGTTTATTTCTTCCTTTTTTTCTGCATAACTCATTTAACTTGCATAACACATTTTCGGGCAACATTCCAATTAAGCAAACTAACATCTGTTCTTCAATAGAACATTTGAAGTTTGTTTTTGATTAATCAGCAAAATAGGAGAAGAGCATCCATCAGACCACACGGCAGGAGATCATTTGTGTACAATGTACATTCTTACATTGCTGCACTTTCCACTAAATGCAATTTCTGAGTAATCTTCAAAGCTAATCTCCAGAGAATGCATACAGTAAAGTCTGTATCCTTTTTTTCCATGCAGAAATTCTTTGCATATGAGAATCAGTGCACATACAGGGTTTTGCCTATAAGTATAAATTACTAAGTTCATTACCATAATTCTCTTCACATAATGCTTGAATGTGTTATGGCATTCAAGAACTCCATTATTGCTTACTCTATTTCAGACATTGAACTTCATAACCAAAAAGACAAAAAGTCTACAAGAAAGTCCTATGTGCTCAACAAAGAAAGCATGCACTAGAAAACCTACCTGAGCTGTCCAGACACCATGATAGCTACTCGGTCGCACATTGCCTCTGCTTCCTCCATGTGATGAGTTGTCAAAATGGCACCTTTATCCTTGTTCTGCAGCATGGTGTGAATTGCTCTCCTAAAGAAACCATTCAACTGATGAAAATGAAAGAAACCTGAATTCTGCTTTGATTCACCTTTAATTGATGAGTGGAACATCCAAGCAGAATACTTGGAATGCCCGAATCTAATCCCAAAACAAGTCCAATGAGCATAATATAAATTGGGAAAGTTAATGAGAAATCAGGACAAGTGTCTCAGCTTGTGCATCACACTTATGGAATAAGGAAACAGCTTTTTTCTTTCCCTTATTGGTCAGGTGGTACATACATGAAACAGGCAAGATTAGGATTAATGCATTATAGTCAGTATTTCATGGACATATCAGGAACATGAATAAAGCAGCACCAGATCCATATTTACATAAATATTCTTAGTTCTTAAATTAATTTCAAATACAATTGCAAAGAGTCATGCAAATATGATAGTCAGTCTAGAAATTTGATAAATGAATAAACTAAAATTAGTATCAGGTTTATTGTGCTATTCCTGGAGGCTCTCTAGATTCAAGGACCTTTGAAAGACATTTTCTTCAAAAGGAATGGTGAAGATAGACAAATAGCTAATTCTCTTATCTCCTTCCATTTCACTGGCATGATGTCAAGGGGCAGAGAGAGCCGAGGTGGCGCAGTGGTTAAATGCAGCACTGCAGGCTACTTCAGCTGACTGCAGTTCTGCAGTTCGGCTGTTCAAATCTCACCGGCTCA